AATTTGGTACCATTAGACAACATTATACGGGCTTTTTTGTGTCCTTCAATCAGGTTGGATGAGCCTTAGAGAGTTGTTAGAGATGCATTTTTAGGAATAAATTAGTAAAATAGTGTTGCTCGTGCAAGATGTTGTACTTGGTGGCACTATCAACCAGACAACTAACTTCCCCACTAGTCATACCTAGAAATAAATTAATTGAACCAGTCACATGCATAAATATAGTTCCATTCATTCAATTAATCAATCGAGAAATAATATCCATAATTCAAAACAAACCAAACCAAACAAATTATTCCAAAAAACTTAGAAAATTAAACCATAAACCTAGAAAATAGAGGGGGTTCGGCCACTCCTAGTGGGTTTAACCACTAAGGGTAAAAACCACCCTAAAACATGTCTTAGAAAAATAAACTTTATTCTTTCGTAGGGGCTAATGCCTCCTGAAAAATCTGAAACCTCCATAGTTGTGGTAGTATCGTCAGGATGTTCCACATGTGCAAAGTTAGACTCACTAGGGGAATGATACTTGGCAATGGCTTCGGGGGTAGCTCAGCATACACGTGAAAATAATCCCTTGATCCAAAGTGGTAGCACATGTCCATTATAGTGGAATTCAATTGAACATTAGCTTTTCCCTTATTCTTGAAGTTTATGGCCATAGGAGCAAAGGGATTGTGCTTTTAGGTCAAATTTTCTCCCTTGGCAGGTGCTTTGCTCTATGGACCTTGGGCCTGGGACTGGGGTTGCTGTCCAGTTCCACAGCCACGACAATTCTTTCGTCATTTGTGGCTGCTAGAATTGGTTGCATGCACTTCAAGCATAGCGTTCGAGCCAGTGGGTCGAGCTTGATGATTTTTCATCAAAAACTGGTTCTACTTTTCAGTGAAAAATTAAACAGAGATCAAATCCAAAAATTTGGTGAACCTATGTGCCTTATATTGTTGCTGCATGACAATATTGGTGGCATTAAAGGTCTAGTAGGTATTCTCCAAGAGATCATGTTTCGTCAAGTCCTCGTTACAGAACTTGAGTAGTGATTGGATTCTACAAACTTCAAAGTTGTATTCATTAACGGACCTAAAGTCTTGGAAGCGAAGATGTTGCCAATTGTATCTTGCTTTGGGAAAGTAAATGTCTTTCTGGTGATCGAAACGATCGACTAGTGCAAGCCAGAGGGTGCATGGGTCCTCCTTAATAAGGTACTTTGTCTGCAGTGCATCATGGATGTGTCTTCAGATGAAGATCGTAGCAGTAGCTTTCTAAGCTTTGTCAACCGAGACGTCTGTAGCCTCTTTGATATCGGCTCAAAGATTCTTAGCAATAAGATGGAGCTTCATGTCTTGAACTCACTTCAGGTAATTTCTTCCAGATACCTCCAAAGCGATGAAATTGAGCTTTTTCAAGTTCGATATGTCCCTAAAATAGAGGGTACAAAAACAATGTGGTTAGTCATATGGTAAGCCATAGGCGTATAGTTTAGAACATTCAAGTTCTATAGACATGTATAGGATTAATTTAAACATGAAACTTCGGGTTTCATGGTGTAAATTTTGAATGAAAACTTCAGGTTTCAAAGGCACTAAATTTAAAACTACAGGTTCAATTTAGTTTATGAACGATTAGCTCGTAAAAGAAAGGTTCATGCAAGAACACAGAATACAATGTACTGACTTAAGTGCAGTGGATTTGAGTTGCTTTAGGAACTCGAGTGTGAGAGCTTCAGGACAACGAAAGGATGTTAATGGTTCAAATAAGAAAAATAAATTATTGAATCGTTAATGTCCCAAAGTGATCTTCAGGCCAATAATTTTGGATTTCTTTTCAGATTAATGGATTGCTGGTCACTTTTAATTAATTCAATAGTTTGAGACTATATGGGGTCGATCGTGGAAGTAAAAGAATGACAGATGGGTCATATTAGCTTTGGTTGGTGATGGGTCAAGTGACAAGGATATTGTAGCTTAATTAACATTAACCAAAACATCCCAAAAATTAAATGGGTATGGTCATAAAGCGTAAATGCCAAAACTTGGCATTGGGTCGAAAAAAATAACGAGACCTAACCACATGGGATGGCTGCAGTATGGGACAAGGCCCTGCACCATGGCTGCAGGCTATTAGGCCACGGGGAGGGCTGCAGGGGCAACCTAGATATGGCTACAGGCCATTAGGCTGAGTCTGGGATGAAGCCCAGCAATGCAAAGCTACTGGCAATAGGCTAAGTGTAAGAAGCCAAGCTAAAAGCTAGCTTCTGGATACAGGCCAAGGTGCAGTCGAGCTTAGCAGTGTAATGCTGCTGCAGGGGGCCAAGGTGCAAGGCGAGCCCAGCAAGCATCAAGCTTGCTGCAGGTGAGTCGAGGAGCAAGGCGAAGCCTAGCAAGCTTCAATCTTGTTGCAGGTAGAACGAAACTATTGGACAAGCCCAACAAGCAGCATGCTTGCTAGTTTTGGGCCAGAGGTGCGTACAGGTCCAACAAAGGCTACAGGCTTGTGAAAACCCTATATTAGGCTTAGGGTCTGGTTGTCCATGGCGTGTAGCAAGCCCAAAAGGCTGCTACAAGTGGTCCAGACGTCATCAAGCACGATGTGGCTGCAGGCTAGCGGGCATTCGTCGGTTCCAGTAGCGGCGTAACTAGGACCCGCAGCGAGGCCGCAAAAAATCCCAATTTAAAATTTTTTTCAACTATAGGGTTTTAAAAACCGTAATTACTTCTAATTTCTTTTGATCCTTTGACTCATAAATTTCACATAGCAAAAATTGCGTAATGCATAAAACATGTGTGTGTGTGTGTGTGTGTGTGTGTGTGTGTGTGTGTGTGTGTGTGTGTGTATATGCACACACTAGCATATGGGCACACACAAAGCGTGTGAGAAATTTTTTTATTTTTTTATCTTTTTTGAAATAGAAGGATAAAGGAAGAGAGTGATAGAGAATGTGGGAGTGGGAAGGTTTATTTATTTATTTATTTTTATTTAGAGATATGTTAGGATTACATGTAGGTGATGCTTTGAAAAAAAAACAGCAAAATTTGGTTGTGTGAAATTACATTTCTGCCCCATATTTCATATTCATGTTCTGTTTTAATTAGATGGTTAAACTGGTAATTTCATATGGCTTTGGTTGACAATGAATGTTTTATTAATTAGTAGAGATATATATATTGACAAATATATGAAACATATACAATATATATATATCAAAAGGTAAATATAAATGTACAGGATTCATGTATCATGGGGAATGTTTTCATGCTTTGTGGTCATTTCAAATATCTTCATTTATTTTAAGCGTACCTGATTGGTAGAAACCAAGAAAAGCCTTTGAATTTGTAGAAGAGCCTCCTCCACAATCTTTTAGTTCCTTAGTTTCTAGCAAGAATGTGCTAATAAAGTGTTGCAGACCAACTCAACAATATTTTACTGAACAATTATAGAGGAAATAGGGAGAGGGGGCCGGCGGCAAGGAGAGAGAGATGAGAGAGATTTAATTGTGAGATGTGTATTGTTCCACCCCATTGTGCCTTTATTTATAGTAGCAGGGAAGGTTAATTTCTCATGCTAATAGGATTACAACTCTAATAGGATAATATCTAACCTGGAGATATGGTTGATATGATGCCACTTGGCATCATATTATTGTGACATGTATATCATTGGGTAATTAGAAATTGTAACTGATTGTGGTTAAAGTTGTTAGTTTATTGCTTAGCTTATAAGTATGTTCATAGTTAGTATAAATAGGGGTTCTTGTAAAACAGCATGAGTCAGTTGTAAAATTATCATTTGTGTAATAAAAAGTTACTTTTACAATGCAATTGAGAAAGACATAGTGAGGGTCTTAACAATGGTAGAATCTACTAAAGATATCTCAAATACTCCAAGATTTACACATTTACATTCATATATTAAATATGACTGCAACATTTATGAGAACATAATGTTAAATTAATTCAAAAAACGTTAACATAAAAAAAAAAATTGTCACCCACTCAAATTATCACATAAAATTGTAAAAACCTCATATTTAAGGATTTTATTATAATGACTCTCTCATTGGAGGCAGTATTCATTTAGAGATACAAAGATTCCCTTTAAGTCCTTAAATGAGTACTCAAAGGTAGTCGTGGAAGTCCCTAAATAGGGACTCCCATTGGAGATGCTAAGACATTAGTTTGTAGTGAAGAAAATGACGAGTGCTGTTTTGCAAAGAAATACTAAATTTAATCTAATGATCATATGATTTCGAATTTGGGTGTTTTTTGGTATAAACGATTGGATCGTTGAAATACATTATACAGTGGGATCCACAAAAACATATGTCAAAATGTGTGTGTTTCCGAATGCTAACCGTTAAGGTCACAGTCGGCAATGGGTGAAACATCAAAGAAAATTCTAGATTGAAACTTCCTCTCAAGCTATTGAACCAGTCCACTGCGCTAACGTGTTGGGGGACTTGTTATCTCACCATCATGGAAACCCCACACGGTTTCAATGAAGATTTGAAACTACACGACCTCTCACGGTTTCAATTAAGATTTGAAACCCCACGCGGTTTAATTGGACATTTAAAACCCTACACGGTTTCACTAAACATCAGAATAGTATGTCTGTCAAACAATTATTTTGAACTTTATCTCAGTGAACAATTTCTTTAGCACGTAGCCCTCTAGTGGTGGAAAGAAGTATTATTCTTACACTATGGCATGAATTTGAACCTTGTTGATTTTCTAATCTAACATTTAATCTAACAAATATATCGTTTGACAAAAAAAGAAAAAAAAAACAATTTCATACTTATATTATTTAATCACGTAAATATATGTGTGTTTAAACCATCACATGGTGGCTCAGTGGTTAGGGACTCCAGACCCGTATTTTATAAAACACGTCCTGAGCTTAATTCTCGACACTGTTGAATCGCAGATGGTGGCCAGAGAGATGATGAAATACCTCTACGAGTCTTCTCGGTTCCGAAATGATGGAATGCGGTGGCAACCCTTTTAAAGAAAAATATATATGTGTGTTTGTGTGGTCCTAATACCAAATTAAGGGCTGGGATTACATCAATGCTGTTGACTTAAAGTCAGCTTCAAGGGAGTGTTGAAAGAGAAGATTTCCCCCAATAAAATGAATGAGAGTAAATGAATTACATGAAGAAAGAAGAACTGCTTTTTCTCTCTATCTTCTGATCAATGTCGAGTCCAGATTCATCATCATCATCATCAAGTGGTGGAGAAACAGCAGCTATTGCTATAGCCATGGGTAAGGATCAATGTCTGTCCTCGTTACCTTTTTCTTTTCTGCATTCACTACTTTTGTTTATAATTCATTCGTCAGTAATGAGTTCTCAATTTTGCAGTGGTGATCTTAGTCAAGATCGTTATCGCAATTGCAGTGTGTCAGAAATGTAAGGAAATAGCAGAAAAGAAACGAATTCAGAATAGTAGCTTAGTGAAGATCGCAAGTCCAGACTTTCGGGCACTCACAATGGACAACTTCCTAAATGATATGGAAAGAGAGAAGCCCATCAGGTTCACTTCTCAACAGCTCCGGATTGCTACCGATAACTTCACTAATCTGTTGGGCCAAGGAGGATTTGGTGCAGTTTATAAAGGAATATTTAGCAATGGAACTCTTGTAGCAGTGAAGGTTCTATATGGAAGTTCGGATAAGAGAATCAAGGAACAATTTATGGCGGAAGTTAGTACAATCGGAAGAACCCATCACTTCAATCTGGTCCGTCTTTATGGTTTCTGCTTCGAGGAACACCTCAGAGCACTTGTTTACGAGTACATGGGAAATGGATCGCTTGACAAGTACTTATTTAGTACCAACACGGTGGCGTTAGGATTTGAAAAGCTTCATGAGATTGCTGTGGGGACAGCAAGAGGGATCGCTTACTTGCACGAAGAATGCCAACAGCGGATTGTCCATTACGACATAAAGCCTGAAAATATTCTATTGGATGCAAACTTCTTTCCAAAAGTAGCTGACTTCGGTTTGGCCAAGTTGTGTAACAGGGAAAATACTCATATAACCATGACAGGGGGGAGAGGGACTCCGGGTTATGCTGCACCGGAAGTTTGGCTGAGGTTTCCTATAACACATAAATGTGATGTCTACAGCTTTGGAATGCTATTGTTCGAGATCATAGGAAGGAGAAGGAATCTCGACGTCAATAGTCAAGATAGCCAAGATTGGTTCCCGAGGTGGGTATGGAAGAAGTTTGAACCGGGGGAATTAGGAGAGCTAATGGTAGTTTGTGGAATAGAGGAGAAAGATAAAGAGAGGGCAGAGAGAATGGTAAAGTTAGCTCTGTGGTGTGTACAGTACATGCCCGAGGCAAGGCCTTTGATGAGTATCGTTGTTAAAATGTTGGAAGGTGCAGTTGAGATTCCTACACCTTCAACTAACCCTTTCCAGCACTTGATGTCGGACACTCCGTACCCTACTGCACCTGTCTATGATACTTCAAATCCAACAGACAGTACCGCCAGTGATTTTTGTTCGGTTCCTTATCAAACTGTAACTGGACATAGCGTCGTCAGTGGTACTCCTATCATGAAGAAATATGAGATTGAAATAGTGTCTGCCTAGGCAAACTAAATTCTCTCTCTCTCTCTCTCTCTCTCTCTCTCTCTCTCTCTAAGTGTGTAATATCTTTTTGTTTTATGACCACCGATAAAGGATGACAACGTTATTCATCATATTCTGTAGATTCCGGAGAGTAAATGTATGGCATCTCCTTTCGTCAAACTACTCCGTGAGGAGTTCCATATATCGAGTTAATGTTAAATCCTTCTGAAGTGAATAAATGTTTTGGAGGTTTGTGGAATTTACAGTTCAGATTCATGTGGTAGCTACTTATTATATCCATGCCTCGATTTACCGCATTGATTTGCGTCTAATATACACATACAACTTCGACTTGCTATTATCTTGGCTTGTTATATCACACAGCCACTTCACTATTAGGCAAGTCTATTAGATGACCTGTGACAATAACTAGAGAAACTAAGTAGTTGACCTGTGACAATAACTAGAGAAACTAAGTATGGAGTCTTTGACCAACTTAAGTCATAATATAAAATGATGGAGCATAATAATTTACCTTCGTATGGTCCTATGAGATGACAACCGTCTACCCCGATCATTGGTCTGCATCCTGCTTTGAATCCTTTCTTGCAAGCATCAAGACAAACATATAACCTCTTAAAGAATGAAGGATCTACACTCACTTTCATAGTACTTCCCACATTTGTTTGCCTTACTGCTTCACAATATTCCCAAATTTTAGCATATTGCTCATCATATGACCCTCTTAACACTTGTAGGGCTTCTGTCCTTGCTCTAAAACACTGACTAATCCCAACATCCAACTCCATGTCCCTTTTTATTACATCCTGTAAAGTTTTTGCAGTCATGCCCGGATGATCTTTAAATCGATTCAAATACTTCTCAGCAATGAACTTGTATGTCACATACTTATTTTTCCACACTCTACTGCATATATGTTTATCATTAAGAACTTTGATTTGCCAAGTGGTATCATTTTGCATTACACTTGCATGCAATCTCCAAGGATACCCTACTGCACAAACTGCAGTAACCCTACCCCTATCATTCTTCTTCATATCAATATCATAACCCCCATAAATCGAATACCTCTTGATGGCGGTTTTCAGGTGTTTAGCTTGTGCAAACCTCATCCTAATTTTGAAACTAGGTTTATCCATATCAGTTTCTGCATTAAACTCAGGATCTCTCTCAGTAGAATCTTCATCATCATCTGAATTATGAGGACTATGCAATTCCTCAGAGTTGTGCTCTTTCTCCTCAGGTAGCTCATTATCAATAATATTTTTAGGTATAACAGTCCTCTCTACAACAGGTCTCGTGTTTGTCCTTATAGATGAGATGTCCACATACTTAGCAAACAACAAATCATCATCTTCCATAGCAGCATCATTTTCAGAATCATACAACTCATAGTCAGAATCATCACTATCTGTTCCATGATTACACCAATAACCAATCTCCCCATCCTCTTGTAAAAAGGTTTCATATAGCCCTTCACTATTGACTTCATATTGCTCCCCACTTTCTTCTAAAACATTTCCATATACCCTTTTACCCTTATCTACATTAGGGTTAGGAATTTCAGTTGACCATAGGCTATTAAGAACTTCATCTTGTACCTGAGTATTGCTTTGAATGTGAGAGAACACTTTTTCTGGGACTTGAGTGGACGCATCACCCATTATCTCATGAAAAAAATCATTAAAGTTTGGTTCTGGAACTAAAATTGACCTGTCCGCATCATGCTCCACATAGATTGTCATTTCCCTTGAACTAGGGATAATGTTAATCATAGCTGATATGTCATTGTCACCATCTAGTGGATGCAAAGCACATTGAGGGTCCTCTCCTGGCTTGGTGAAATGAAATCTCTTCACATGTTTGTATCCAACTTCTTCCATCATATACTTGAGTTCATGAGTTGACAACAAGTCTGGATCTACATTATCAAAATATATCATCTGCCCTCCGCATATGAACTTGAGTGTAAACAAATCAGCCCCTGCAATTTGATAGCACATGTATCTCAACCTATGTAATATAGAAAAATCACTTATGCATTGCAGTACTGGCCAACTAGGGCCTACATCAAACCACACTACCAATTAAAGACAAAATTGAAAGACATATATGCATTCGAACAAGTACAAAGTGATACAAGAATGAAAATTCAAGTAAGACGTGTTGGCATTGAAAAATAAACAATGGTTTATTAGAAGTATTAGGATTTTCAAACGAAATTAAATCATACCTAAGAAATTAGGTGCGACTTCACCTTCACCTCTTCTCCTAGCCATTGAAGTGGTTTTCCGAGTTTAATTTCACTTGGGTTTTGGTTGGTCTGCAAATTTGAGGGGTGGGATGTGTTTTTCACAATGGGTTTGGCTTGATCTGCAAGACTAGGTTAATAGGATTTGAGGTGATGGTTAACGACGATGGACGTCCACCAATGGCTATGGTGGTGGCTGGGAGCGAGATGAGATACGGGGACTGTTGAGTTTTTTTATCTTCACAAGTTTCTTTATTTGTAATTTTATTTTAATTCAATCATGTTTTTGTCCTTTTATTTTCTAAAATAAATAAACTTAATTTTGATAGTTTTTATTTAACAGAAGACTAACGGAATTTTGGATTTGGACCTTAATTACTAACAGAGCTCACCACATGGGTTTAATTAATAGCTTTTTCACCACAAGGGTCACATTGAAAGTGACGTGTCACCACAGGGACTACAAAAAAAATTTGGCCATAAATTTTTATGGATGTTGTGAAATTTATAGTTTAGATTCAAGTGGTAACTATATATTGTGTTTTGTAAGTTGAATATTCGTTATAGAAAAAGAAGTACAAGCACTACTACAAATTTTAACATACATGACGCAGTTTATAGGTCATGTTAAAAGTTTAATGACGCAAGGATTTAGCGTCATTGAATTAAGAACTTGTGTCATCTATAACCATTTAAGATGCAGATTAAGTGTCATATACAGAGAAATGAGCGTCATGGTATACTAAACATGACATCTATATAGTGTCATGTACTATAGCACTGAAACTATTTGCAACGTCATTGAATATTAGCAATGACACACAAAGCATGTCATAAACCGTTCAATACATGTCCTGAAATATGTTTGATGACATATATAATGTATTTTTAATTTGAAAGCACGACCTACATAATTCATCCCGGGAGCAAGATATTGACCTCAAATGAAACAATATTGCTTCATAAATTTGAAATTTATCCACCACCGAAGTATTACAAAAGACAATATAATGTATAGAGCTTTCCTACTAATAAAACTGTAAGTTCACTTAATTTAAAATCTGGTTATTCTCAAAATCTGGTTCAGCATAAGATCACCAACAACAAATATCCTCCTCCCTTGACGCAGGAGAGACTCCCACTTTTCTACACAAAAATTATCAACATTAATTAAAAAAATCAATAAGAATAACAATTCTTACTTTCACATGCTAAAACCAAAAAATAAACTGCAAAGGGCCATTCTGATTATCTCTAGAATCTTGGAAAATTTGAACTTAAAATCATTATTTCCGTATCCTACACAGATGAATCAGGTCAAACAAAAAGATCAACAAAAGTGCAGTGTAGTTTAAGATCACATGGAAGAAAATAAACGAACACAATAAATTCTCTCTAACCATTCTAGTATAAAACCAAAGGTTGATTTAAAGTAACCGCGCAATAAAAATAAAAAAAGGCATCCATTAATCTGTGATAATCTAGAAAATAGGACAGCTGTACATACAAGTAACAAAAGCATCTAGTAATCATATTGTTTCATAAAAAAATAGCACAAAAAATTAAAGGCAAGAAGAGAAAGAATCTCACTTGCATAGGATCTGCATGAACGGAGGATTGACTGGTAGCAGGGGCAAAGGCACTTGATTTGGATGAGGCCTCAGACTCTTTATTTGTCTGACTACTTAATGCAGAAATCTCTAAGACTAATGAGCCTTTCTTCACACGTTTTGCACCAGCAGTTGTTGAAACCTACAATTTACATAATTAAATTGCCCACCAGTGCCAACCCTAGTAAATTAACAGTTAGAATATTGGTATAGACATATTCTCCTCGTCGACGGGTATTGAGATGAAGATGTATGAGGGTTAAGAGTCCCCAGCAAACCTATTAGTAATCTTGACTATAAAATAGATATTAAGAACTTCGGCCCACGTTGACCTGAGCTCATCGATAGAGTTTTCCATGTTATCCCATCTGAATACCGAAGCTGGAAATAGCTCATTACCCTTGAGAGGGAAGGAGTACATGGGAGGGATGCCATCGTGATCCTTGCAACCACTAACTTATTCAAGACCCAAAGTGGGTTGAGGTAAAGATTGCCAAGTTGCCCCTGGACCTAAAAACTGCTAAAGATGTGTCCAAGTTTAAGAAGAAAAAAAGGAAAAAACTGGAAGAGGTTATTACAAAAGAGGTTCAAACCAAAGTTTCCGAGAAGAGGGCTAAGCCAACGAGTAGTTCCAGCGGTTGCCAAGGAACGGTGCTAGAAACTGTTGACCTCACTTCTTCAGCTGAGGAAGGCTTTCAGCAGCCATCGACAATCAATGGCGAAGAAGGGAGAGATCCTATCCTCAATAGAGTTGGAAGCCTTGTAAGAGGTTCTTTGGAGCAAACTTCTTCTGTGGTAGCACAAAAACAGATGTCGTCCAATCAACAACAGTAACTGCAACATCAAAGTTCTCAAATTCAAACTTCCATTTTGTTCACCCGCGACTCCACCTTTGAGTTTACCCATGTCGCACTTCTAGCTAAGGAAATAACTGGTGGTTTCTCCGAAGTGCTACTTACTCAACCGGTTGGCCCTGAAGGGACATCTAGTGAACCATTGTGCTTAGTAATCAAACCTATGCATGATTTAGTGCCACTTTGCATAAACGCAAGTGGTCTCCGTGATGCCAGACATGCTCAAGCTTAGTCCGCTTAGCAGCCTCTCCTGGTGATTTTAGAGAGGTGATGGCCAAGGAAGATATCCTAGTGATTTCAAAGAGGTGATATGCGATTAGCCCTTTTGCTGTTTTTCCTCTTCTTCAATTTCTAGCATCGCTCCTCATTTTTCTTCTTTTTATAACCATACTTCCCTTAGGCTAATGCTTAGACAAAGGCTTTGGTTCGTACCCAGACGGACAAGATCTCCAAACTCAAACTGGCCAACAAGAGCAAGTTGGGCAGCAAGATCAAACTTGAAAGGGACTTGCAGAAGAAAAGTTCCAAACTTGAAGCACTTCTAGATACCATGACAACAAGACATGAAAGAAGAAATTCTATCTAGGGACAACATGCTTTGCAAATGTTCGTGCAAGAATAAATTGTATGCACCCAAGCAACCACGCCAAGCTAAACAATGCATCTAACTTAGTCTTACTCGAATATGCACCAACAAGCAATCAAGCTGGGCTATGAAACAAACACGCAACACGCATGAGAAAACAAGAAGAAAACCACAAAGGGCAAACACACAAAGGTCCAAAATCGAAGATTACTAAGGATCATGAGTTTAATTTTCCAAATGAAGGAGTTGCAACCTTGTTTATGAAGACAAAAGCCCTAGAATTTCTTAAAACGTGCAAACAAAAGAGAAAATATGGAAGCATGCTCAACTTCACCACCAAAGCCGACAGAGAAGACGAGGAAATGAAGAAAAATTCAAGAGAAAAATTAAGGGTTTTACCTTACCTAAGGAAAGTTTTGGCGCAAAGCACGGGAGTACACGAATTGGGAGCGCAATGCAAAGTAAAGGAGTAGAGGGAAGAATTTTAGAAGAAAAATAAGTTAAGAAAGAGAAGAACAGGGAAAGACAAATTAAATGCTTGTCCTAGGGAATAGAGACAATTAAAGCAGTTGTCATACATAGATGAAAGAATACCTAGCGCTATCTTGGGTGATGAGACGTGCATGAGAAACAAGGGTGCACATCCCCACGATGTCATCAGCAGCCATGCAGGAAGGGGGAAAGGTCTTATCAGGGAACTCATATTCAAAATTTCTTTGGGCCTGGATTGATTATCTAGCCCGTTCAAAGACCTTTCACAACCCTAATAATCAAAGGGGCTCATTTTAGGGCCCAAAAATGTCATATGCAAGCCCAATCAAGTCTCAAAGCCCAATTGTCATACAAGCCCTAAACCAGTCATACAAGCCCCAAGCCAAGCCAAGCCTAAACGCATGCAAATGTGCAGAATCAAGAAAGTAAGATATTGACAGTCATTGCCACGCTATAATAATTAAACCGGATATTTACATAAATCATGCCATGCCTTATCACGCTAACTACTATTCATGCTAAAATAAGCTCAAGTCATATGCTTGGGGCTTGCCAAGTGAATTGTGATGTAGATGATTACAGAAGTTTATCGAGCCTACGTGAAGTCAAGATTATGGAAGACTTTAAGCTGCTTGAGAGCCCAAAGATCTAAGCCTATAATCTTTGAAGTCAACCAATCTTGTTCCTTATTTCCCTAGCAAGCCAACCAATCTAGTTAGGAAGGAGCTAAACCCTAAGTCAAGTTCACGTGAAAGCCTGGCAAATCATGCATTTAATGAACAAAGATGCTAACTTTCTCTTCCTAGCTCACGCAGAAAAACGACGCATGAAAGCCATGAGATGCATTACCAGAAGTAACACATGTGGAAGTTGACCTAGCAAAACAACACTTTGGGAAGGAGGTGTAGTGCAATCTTCACGAGTGCAACATTGCTAATTTGCATTATATCAATAAGGAAGGCCATAGTTATATCAAGAGAAAGAGGAAGGAAAACCTAGCCAAAATTAGAGATTCCCTAGAGAGCATGGAAAGGCATCATTCACCTACAATAGGGGCAAAATTGAGTGCATAGAGAGATCATCATCACAAGGGAGAGAGAATAATATAATAGAGAGAACATGAGAGGGGATTCAAGGTTGTATTGCACCAAGCTAGGGAAATCACTTACTAAGTTCAAATAGTCTTGGATTTTAGGGAGCATCATATTCCTGCAACCTTAGAGTTTTTCCTAACCTTCCCTCAATCCTCTCAGCTAGCAGAGGCCTCCTTAGAGCATCTCCAGTAGAGTCCTTATAGAGGGACAACCACCGTATAAAATGAGTATAAAACAAATAAGGGGACAAAATGAATCTCCAATGGATTGGAAAGTGAGTTCCTAAACTATAGGAACTTGCCGAATACTTGGTGTATGTACCCAATTATATGGACTCTATAGGGAATAAAATGATAGACCTAATAGGACAATTTAAGGAGAAAGGTAGGCGTGGGTCCCAGTAACATGGTCCTGTCTTTTTTTTTTTTTCAAACGTTTAAAATGAAAGGTCCATATTGATTCTTGCTTTTCAATTTTTTTTACCATTGAAAGATAGTTCTAATTAAATAACGATTTCAATTTAGGTTACTTTGTCATGTTTGTTTTCAATTTTTTTTTCTCTTTTCATATTGCCTCCATTGAAAGATTAACAGTTTCAATTTGGGTTACTCTCTAATGTTGTTCTCTCATCATTCCTATAACTACAAAATTATCTAACCAAAACTTACCACAACTTCATCTCCTATACTCAATTCACTCGTACTCAATTCATTCATTCTAGTTACGTTTTCATGATGAACAAAATTGGTGTCAGAATTTGGATTTTTTTTGGGTTAAAATGTTCACAAAAATATTTTACGAGAACGTAATGTTAAATTAATTCAAAAAATGTGCACATAATCAAATTATGACATAAAATTGTAAAAACCTCAAATTTAAGGATTCTACTATAAGGACTCTTCCATTGGAGGCAATATTCCTTTAGGGACATAAAAATTCCCTCTAAGTCCTTAAATGAGTACTCAAAAATGGTGGTAGGAGTTCCTAAATAGGGACTCCCATTAGATATGCTCTTAGAACCCTAAGAAACCCAGACTATTCAAGCCTAGAACACCTTACAACCATGCAAACTCTGTCTTGTGCTAAACTGATAAGTTTCTAGCTTCCATACCATGGCTCACTTGAGTAAGCTATTATTTGCTTAATCATGTTATCTTTGAGTCATTGATCTAACGAGAATATTTCCTAAGGTGTGCTAATTCTTTTGAGATATTCCAAGACTTGGTATGAAAGCAAACCAAAGGAGGCAAGAAGATGTTTGCAAAGCCCAAGTTTGCCTCGACTTAAAAGTTCCCCAATAGTAATAAAAATAATTTTTTTCTTAATGGGTTACCTATGTGTAAACCCGTTAAGGATCTGTTATTAAAGAGTTCTTAACGACTGCCCCAATAACAAGCTGATTAGTTATCGTATTGACTCGAAACTCATTATTTTCATGTGGTATTAACGAGTTGGGTAAGAAATTGTTAGCTTAACGAGTTGTGTAAGCTCTACCACCTAGGGCTGCGCAAACGGGTCTTGGACCCATGGGTTGGGCCGGGTCCAAAATTTCTAGACACAAAATAGGATAGGTCAGGCCGGGTATATGAAATTAGCGGGGTGGGGTGGATCTTAAAATAGGAGGGAACGGGCCCCCGGCCCGGCTCGATTCTAGCATGGAATATAGGCTATTATTGAATTTTCTTCCTCATCTCAGTCTTCTCAGATAATCACTCAGACAGAAACTAAATAATTATGTTTCCCTTTCTCCCATTTATTCACGACTCAAGCTCGAGTCGAGTAGTCGTCCATCACCAAGACCTCGATCTCTCCTCCCGACTCCTCCCCTTTCACTCAGACTTCAATCTCTCCTTCTTATTCGCTCCCGCCCTTCTCGCTCTGTCTGCCACCATCATCATCAGACCTCGGTCTCTCTTCCTGGCTCACTCTCTCAAAATCAATGTCTCTCTCTGTCGAACTCGAAGGGATGAACGATAAAGTCGAACATTCGAAATGACAATTAGTCATCTCCTCCGTCTAACTCTGACCTATATTTGCAACCCACGAGCTCTGCTGATAGTCATCTTCAGTTCTAAGGTATTACGTTTTAGGGATTTAGGATTGAAAATTAAATTAGGGTTTTCTAGATTTAGGGATTTTGTTGGGTTCTTGAACCTTGACCTCTGTTCTTTTCCAATTTCAAATTTTTATTGAAATGAATTTGAATCGATTGAATTTGAAACTTCTGTTGAATTAAATTGAATTTGAATATATGGATGTTTTGTGATAGTTTCAGACTTGTATATATTTGAATCTTTTGTTTTAGATGAGTATTTTTAATTAGATTATGTTCAGCTGATGAGAAAATTTACTGGAGAATTCTATAATTTCAGTAAATTACGTTACCCAGCTGCATTTAGTTTCCTTGTGCCTGAAAAGTGGGCTGATAAAACATGATAGGAAAAAGACCAGTCCATTATGATAAGAAATTTTTTTGTAAAAAAAACATTGTACTTGGACCCAAATGGGCAAAATCTGATCTTAAAAAAAACAAGTAATTGGACCCGTGGACTTGGCCTGAAAAGGGCAGAGTTAGGTTCAGTTCCAAATTTAGAAATTCCATTACCTGGCCCGCCCCATCCCGATGCAATTTAAAACGGGTCTGATCCGGCCCGGGCCCACCCCTACAACCACCAACATAAACCCTCCACCCGAAACCGTAACAGTAACTAAAATAAAATAAAATAAAAATCCTTAAACCCCAAAAACTTCAACTTCCTCCTTTCGCTTTCACGTTAACCCGCAGGTCTCCTCCCAACACGATTGCAAGAGCCCGCCTTCACCACCGCGAGCATAGTTTTAGCCACCGTGAGGCACACCGGAAAGCTTCCAACTCTGAGTTTTTTTTTCCCTTTTCTGATTTGAATTTGCCGTTTTGAGTGTTCCGAACCATGGGGAAAGTGGAATTCTATACATAATTTGTCAAAAATTAATCTTATCAGAGACTGATGGTGCAAAGTTCTAGCTGAAATATTACTTAGGAAAAAATGATGAAGAAAATTAATTTCGTTTTTCGTTTCTATAGAATTAAAATTTGTTTGCTATGTTATTCTGTTTGAATCTAAATTCAACGACCTCAGGCTTCAACTCCAACAAACTCTCATCCTCCTCCGGTCGTTTAGCCGAAACCAAGTCTACACTCGAATTGAGGGATTTTTCTGGCGCGAAGTTTCCGGTTTTCTTTTTCTTCTCAACATGGGAAAACAATCAGGCAAGAACCCAGGTAAGTTTTTGTTTGGCTGCCCTACCCATGAACTGAATTAGCAGAATTCTTCGTAATTTTTGTTGAATCTGTAGCTTCCTCTTTGTTTCCATTGCAATACTTACTGGTAAGACATTTTTGTGTTCCCATAGCAGGATTTGGAAAACGCAAAATACCCAACAAGTTCAACACGAGCAAGAAAAGTCATCGTCTTGAAGAAGAAAATGTTGCACACAGCCCTGCGACTACTTCGTCAGGCATACCTTATATTTTACCTTTTTATAGTGTTAAGTTGAACTTTAATCTAATAAAAGAGTTAGCTTTTTTTTTTTTTTTCCTTGCCCTTTGTACCTGTTTAGAGAGTTTCCACCCAATCGTTATCTTAGGGGATCAATATTTGGTTAATGCATTGGAGATAATGATTTAATTGCCAATGTTTTCATATTCACATTCACGATCATTCTAATACAGGGGAACTACCAAACGAAGAATCTAACTGTGTGGTTTCCGAAGAAGAAATGGTTTATAAGGAGCCATCCATGTATGATAAATTGTTAATGACGCTGGGATCATCTAGTAAATCTGTTTCTGCTGCATATAAGATGAGGTAACGGTCTTCTTAAAGTCCTGGGTTTATTTTCAGTGTTTTTTTAGCGTCTACTTGCTGCATATGGCTAAACTCTAAAAGATATTTTTGGCCTCAATTTTAAGTGTGCATAAGGCAGTATTTTTGGGTTTGTTTAAGCTTGTTTTGGTTCTTACGTGACCTCCACTGATTAGTTTCGGTGTGCTCTGTTCTGCGACGTTTAAGAGTTGCATATAAAATGCGGTTTATAAGGTTCTGAGGCACCTCTAGGAGTCAAGTACTCCTTTCTAGGTTGCACTTGGGTTTCACATTTGTAATTTCTCCATATGTAGTGGACTTCTTTACATAGAAAAGAAAACAAAAGATTGCGCTGTCCTTTCAAATTCATTATGGACTCAATTTTGTTTGTATTGCCGAATTTTTGTTTGATGAGTTATGTCAGCACTTTGTGACTAAGAAATATATAAAGCTAAAAAAAGTTGGATTCACACCTGAGATACGTTTATGTTTAATTGATAGCAATGTAGCATTGGTGCGTTTATTATTAGGCAGTTTAATAGATAATTAAGCTCTTTTCTATCTGACCTAGGAAAAAAGGAAATCTCTTCTCTCAATGTTAGTAATTTGAAACTTGTTGATTCATTCAAGGAATTTACAACTAACATGTTATCATCCACTTCTTTTTTGTATAGAAAAAGACAAGAAGAAGGTCTAAGTGACTCAGAAAATTCTGAAGATGATGGAACTGAATCTTCTAGTGACTCAGAGGATGCGGATGATGACGAAGAAGGTAGAACATTTATGTTTTATGTTCAAATATGAGAAAACAATTTTGTTGTCTCTGCCCTCCTAATTGTTTGCATTTCCTGTTGTAATGATACTGGCCTCCAGGATCTCACAACCTTTTTCATTCTCTTTATCATAGATAAGTAACCAAAAGCCCATAGTTGAGGTTCATATAGTCATATATCAATTTATTATGGAAGGCCTACACTACTGACATTGTAGTGAGCATGAATGCTGCTTTTGCTTTTATCTTCTATATGATAATGGATTAAGGGGTAGTCTTACTTCTTCATAAGCAGAGTCAACTTGATGATTTATGTTAGATTGTGCCGCACATCATATTATTTAATTCATGTCCTATTCTTGCATAGGAGTTGATGATGAATTTCCTATGGAAGGAAAACCCAAAGACCCTGAAAAGGCAGGACTTGAGGAGCACGGTGAAGATTCTGAAAATAAGGATGACCAGGAGACCTTTGACTTGGATGACCAAGAGACCTCTAACTCAGATGACCAAGAGACTCATGATTCAGATGCAGAACAGGACCTGGGAACCAGTTCTCAATCTGCTGTTGAACCATCAATGTGCTTGAGGTGCATTTACATGAAATACCTTGTTCATTTGGCTTTTGCATTTTTATTATGTATTGGCATTATTACTTTATGCTGTGTTAAGCTTGATGTTAATCACCACTAGCTTTTATCTTTGTATGTCTTACCATTTTGGGATCTTATTAAGTCAGATTGTATGCATATATACACTTCATTCCCTCTTTATATCTTGCATTGTGCAGTTCCTTTGATATACACTTGGGGCACAAGTTAACAAAAGCTGAGGTTGAAAATCTTTCAAAAAAGATGTGGATATATGATTGGGAGGTGCCTGCTGTTGGGATGACGAAGGGCAAGTGGGCAGGAACAGGAGAGTGTTTTACAAAAGTATGTATCACATTTATGACTTGCACTATATTCGTTTTATGTCTGTGTGTAAAAGCTCTTGAAATGGTCTCTTTTGCATTGTTCTTGTCCATTGAAGCGCCTTCCAGCATAAAGGCAACATAATGCACCTTTGTTCTTCCTTATCAATCATTCTTTTTATATTTATTAGGGTGAACTGTCGATTTAGTCCCTAAATTCTTACATGAATGAAAATTAGGTCCCTAATGTATTCTTTTGGAAAAATAAGTCCTCAAACTAATAAAAATCTGCCAATTACATCCCTAATATTAGATTCGAAGTAATTCTATTTTAATTTTTCGTCAATTTAAGTCATGTGACTTGCATGTGAAACTTCAGAGAGAAGATTGGTAGTTTTTCATAGTTTAAGGACTTATTTTCTTTGAAGAAATAGGGTATGGAGTTAACTCTGGATGGTAAATTAGACGCTAGATTCGCAACCTATATGCAACATTAAGGGCTTATAGGCAAGAAAATGGTGGCAATATCCTCTAAAATATGTCATGTGACTTCAATTGACAAACAATTGGATAAAATAGCTTTGAGTATAATATTAGGGATTAAATTAGCAATTTTTTATGAAATTAGGGACTTATTTTACCAAAAAAATAATCCAGGGACCTAATTTTATCCGAGGTGATAATTCAAGGACTAAATCGGCAGTTCACCCTATTTATTAATAGTGGGAGTTGCTATTATAAAAAAAAAAATGACTAAATTGCTATTAATCATTGAATTAGTACTTACTTTTTATTCCCTTAAGTAATGCTGGGAGTTGCTCTCTCCACACTCTGGAAGAACCACCTTTTAGATTGCAAATCATACTTACTCTTGTTGACAATCCACATTTGATCGGAATCTTCACAACCTTAAACCTAAGAATGCAGTATTCCTCTTATTAAGAAGCTCCCTATGGCCAACCCTTTTTCATTTTGTTTTTAGGTTTTGCAGAATGTCCTAACGAATTTTATGATCCCCATCTTCTTACCGCTCCTTTCTCTTCAAGAAATCTCTCATCAACTTTCAGTGGAAAGGAGCAGATTGTGGTGTGTTTTTGTTCTTAAACGACTGGGTTTTAGGAATATTCACTTTATTTTAATTCATCTAGAGCGCGGGGTAGTTATGAATTCATTCTAATGGTTCTCTCATACTTTCGGAAGTGTTATTTAGGCAGAGATGGATCCCTTGTGTTTCACCTTCTGGGTAATGTTTCTTGTAATTTTTTTAGATATGTGATCCATGTTGTACCTTCACATGCTAAGTATATGTATACATTACAGTCCTGGAGCTGTTTTGATTGAATTTTTTCTTGTTCAGCAGTTTGTACAATTATAATCATAATATGGCCCTTAATTTTTTGTTTTGGGTATTATGTTCAGGATGACGACCCCAATTCTTGTTATGGTCTGAAGCAAAAGTTGTATAAGCACTGGTTTGATGTTTATAACAGATCTGGAGGGAATGATTTTCATTCATCTAGACAAAGATTATTCTTCTCTCTGTGTGAGTGTGCCCAATTTGACTTGCACTGGCTACTTGTTAGTGTAATGGCTTTATCTATATCATTAAGTTCTAAATGTTCCTACTCAATTCCTACTACCATAAATAGTTGATATGATTATATATTTTTTTGGAGCTGGTGGGGTTCAATCTTCCAACTTATTCCAAAAATACACCTTGATAATTATGTGACTGGAATTTTAATGCTAAATTGTCCTATTTTATCGGACATTTTCTTAGGGAGCTTCTGAACAAGAAAATTAATCTCTTCTAAGGCTAAATCGAAATAGACTGTTCTTACCTTATAGGGTTAGGCTTCTCTTTTGAGTTGAAAGTGCAAGTAGTGGTTCATTCCTATTTCATCATTATTGGAATTTCAGCTTCCATGAGGCTTTATTGATCCTGACCGTAAAAACGTCATATGTACTGTAAGGGATATACAGGAAGAAGTGGGGATGAATACTAGCATTCAATATATCTTATTTCTAAATACTTGGATTGTTTTTTTTTTTTTTTTTTTTTTTTTTTTTTTTTTTGTAGAGGTCGCACTTGGTGCGATGGCAAGTGCCTTCGCCCATGAGCGGTAGGTCTCGGGTTCGAGACTTGGGAGCAGCCTCTCCATAAATGGGGGTAAGGCTAGCCGACATTCACCTCTCCCAGACCCTGCGTAAAGCGGGAGCCTTGTGCACTGGGTACGACCTTTACCTTTTACTTGGATTGTTTTTTGTATGGAAAAATAATTCCATAGAATCTATACATTGACATTCATTTCAATTTTCTTGGGTGGTATGAGGAGAAAGCTTCTTACAATTTATATTGGTTTGTCATTTTTGGTGACCTTACCTATGGTTTATCTTTTTCTTTTTTCTTTATCCCGATATCAAAATGAATGGGAAAAACATATAGATTTTAGCAAGTAGTGGAATTTCGTTCCTATTTCATCATTGATGGAATTTCAGCTTCCATGAGGCTTTATTGATCTTGATCGTAAAAGATGTCCTATGTAGAGAAAGGAATATACGGGAAGAAGTGGGTATGATAGACTAATATGGAAAAATAATTCTATATATAGACATTCATTTCATTTCTTGGGTGATATGAGGAGAAAGCTTCTTACACTTTCTATTGGTTTGTCATTTTTGGTAACCTTACCTATGGTTTATCTTTTATCTTTTATCTTTATCCCGATATCAAATGCATGGGAAAAACGTATAGATTTTAACAAAGTGTCATCTGTTAGGTTTGCTGGTTTGTAGTTTATCCAGATTTTATCTTCTTTTTTTATTTATTTATAGTTTATCCAGATTTTGTATTCTACTTTTATTTATTTATTTATTTATTTATCTCTTTATCCTAAATTTTTGTAGTCATGAAGTTTCTTAAGTTTACAATTGTAGTATGGGTTGACTCATTTTGGGTATTTTGTGGTTATGTCAATATCTACACGTCCCTCAGTCAACAGCTATCGGGATATATTGCATTGCAACAAAAAACCCTTTTATCACAGAGCCTCTGAAGAAGACTCAAATGTCATGGGTGCATACATGATGCAGTGTGTACGTGCTTGTCCCTAGCCCTTGAAAAATATCAATATCTTTATGTTCTATTTTGGAAATTTTCTCATCTTATAATAATTAATTATTATGCAGCTGAATCATGTCTTCAAAACTAGAGATCTTGTAACGAAGAATGATGCAAAAGTGTCCAAGCTTCGAGAAACTGCTTGTAATGAAATTCTTATTGATGATAGTTTCCTTGATCATGGATTTACTCGTTCTTGTGATAAATACTGGACTTGGATTCCTTATAACAATGTATATCCATTTTATAACGTCATTCATATAATAGTATATATTCTTTTTTTGTACAAGCCATGTAGTGTATATCTTGTTTGCGGTCCTATATGGCCTCTGTGTTTTAAATTTAGGCACACTTGGTTCGGTGACTGTGAACTACTTTCTATTTATTGTAGCTGTTGCAATTTGATTTTGTGACGTTGTATACTTTTGGATCTTATCATCATTATGCTGCTTGTAAAGTTATCTCTTGGATGTGTGGGCACACGAGAAAGGATAAGATTAGGAATGAGGATATCCGGGGTAAAGTAGGAGTAGCCGAAATTGAAGGAAAGATGAGAGAAAATCGGTTACGGTGGTTTGGACATGTGCAAAGAAGGCCTACTGACGCTCCGATTAGAAGATGCGACTATGGGACAGAGGTTCAGGGCCGAAGGGGTAGAGGAAGACCTAGGAAAACTTTGGAAGAGACCCTAAGAAAAGACTTAGAGTACTTGGATCTAATGGAGGACATGACACAGGACAGAACACAATGGCGTTCTAAGATTCATATAGCCGATCCCACTCAGTGACTTGGATTTTCCAAGTCTCCAACCGAGAAGTTTTCCTCACTCGGGAAATTAAGGGAACACTACCTCACCTCAACCTATATGCTCCACTCACAAAGCTTCAACAACATACAAGCTTCAACAAAAGAAAATTCAAAGAACTTAGCGAAGAAGGCTTTGGTGTATTTAACACAATACGTTGAAATGAAGGAAAACTTATTTATTGATATCCCCGATAAGTTACAAATATGTACATATACTTGAGTCAAAATAAACAAACAAGAGGGAGCCTTCACAAAGGTTGCTTAGGAGAAGTCTCAGCAGTCGGTAGAGCCCCAGAAAAGAGAAGGCACCGGAGGGGGATCATTCGGAGCCTCAGTACTGGACAGAACCCTAGAAGGAGGAGGCATCAGAGGTTGATCATTTGGAGCTTCATTACGCGGTACAGCCCCAGAAGACGAAGGCAATAAATGCCTTTGGAACAAACCCACAAATCTCTGATGATCAAGTAAAACCTGACCATCAGATTCCTTCATCTGGTCAAGCTTCCTCTTCATGTTTGTAGCATAGTCATGTGCGAGCCGGTGCAACTGTTTATTCTCATGCTTGAGCCCTCTAATCTCCTGTTTGAGACTCATCACTTCAGCCGCCAATGATTCAACTTGGCGGGTTCGAGCAAATAGGCGTTGGGCCATATTAGACACAGAACCTGCACACTAAACACTAAGAGCCAGAGAATCCTTAACAGCCAACTCATCAGACCGTTTGGAAAGTAGTCTGTTATCTTTGGGAGTGAGAAGGTTCCTGGCCACTACCGCAGCGGTCATATCATTCTTCATCACGGAATCCCCAACGGTAAGAGGACCAGTAGGGGAGACGAAGGATGGGCGCCATATGTTGTCTGGAAAAGGCGGGGCTGCCTCTTCAACAAGGTTCAAGTCAAAACGACGGTCGGAGGGGCCAGACATTTTCAAAGGTGTTGAAGAGAGAAGAGGTCGGACAAATCAAGATCTTATAAGTGCAAGAATGGAGCTTCTACTGGTGGATATTCAAGTGTGCTTTGGAACTTAATGTCTGCCCCTATAAAAATCTGCACTCGATGAAGCTTCAGAAATCGAAGAGGCGCCTGCTCAGAAATCGAAGAGGCGTTTGCTTTCTCAAAAGCTGGGCTGCTCAGAGACCACGAGGGTCGATCTCAGAAATCGAAGAGGCGTTTTCTTTCTCAAAAGCTGGGCTGCTTAAAGACCACGAAGGCCGATCTCAGAAATCGAAGAGGCTTGCTTTCTCAAAAGCTGGGCTGCTCAGAGACCACGAAGGCCGATCTCAGAAATCGAAGAGGCACCTACTTTTCCAGCCCTGTCAGCACCTGTCACACGCACACTCAGCTTTGCGGAAATTATGGGCATTCTGTCGAAGATTTCTGGCGAAGTAGAAAGCACATGAATCGTACTGTTCAATCACCCACTTCCCACACGCAACAGTAGCTCATGGGTACCACATATAACTTTGCCAAAGTTCTCTGACAAAGTTGAGACACGTGAAGCTTGCAGCTCCCACTACATCGCTCTGACCAAGAAGGGTAAAAGATTAGCAAAGAAACAACACTAACAAAGTTTAGACACATAAATTTTGAAGGTCTAGCTACCATATTATTACCCACAAAGGTAAAGGAACAGTACCACTGCTGGATAATTGGAAAGTCCCGATGTGTCAACCTCTGTGCTTCGTGGCAAGGTAGACTAGCAAACATGCCCAACCTTTACTCACATTCGAGAAAACACTCCCAACAAGATTGCTTGCTCCAAAATCGAAGAGAGGCACCGCCCTCCGAATCTCGAGAGCCAGACTCCCAACATGATTACTTTCTCAAAAATCGAAGAGAGGGTAAAGGAACAGTACCACAGCTGGATAATCGGAAAGTCCCTGTGTGTCAACCTCTGTGCTTCGTGGCAAGGTAGACTAGCAAACATGCCCAACCTTTACTCACATTCGAGAAAACACTCCCAACAAGATTGCTTGCTCCAAAATCGAAGAGGCACCGCCCTCCGAATCTCGAGAGCCAGACTCCTAACATGATTACTTTTCTCAAAAATCGAAAGAGAGGGTAAAGGAACAGTACCACTGCTGGATAATTGGAAAGTCTCTGTGTGTCAACCTCTGTGCTTCGTGGCAAGGTAGACTAGCAAACATGCCCAACCTTTACTCACATTCGAGAAAACACTCCCAACAAGATTGTTTGCTCCAAAATCGAAGAGGCACCGCCCTCCGAATCTCGAGAGCCAGACTCCCAACATGATTACTTTCTCAAAAATCGAAGACACCGCTCTCCGAATCTCGAGAGCCAGACCCCCAGTAGGATTGCTTTCTCAAAAATCGAAGAGGCATCGTTCTCCGAATCTCGAGAGCCAGACCCCCAGTAGGATTGCTTTCTCAAAAATCGAAGAGGTATCACCGCCTTCCGAATCTCGAGAGCCAGACTCCCAACATGATTACTTTCTCAAAAATCGAAGACACCGCTCTCCGAATCTCGAGAGCCAGACCCCCAGTAGGATTGCTTTCTCAAAAATCGAAGAGGCATCGTTCTCCGAATCTCAAGAGCCAGATCCCCGACAGGATTGCTTGTTCGAAAACCGAAGAGGCACCACTTTCCCAACTTCAAGAGCTGGATCTCCTTGGATAAAGCTTGTCTGTAATCTTCACACGCAACATCAGCTTTCCAGATACCACAGGCCACTTTTTCAAAGTGCTCTGACAGAGTTCAAACTTGTGAAGCTGGCAGCTCCCACTACCGTTCTATGACCAAGCAGGGTAAAGGAATAGCATTATTACTTGATGTTAGGGAGACTCCTATATATGTCGACCTCCATCCCCAACGGACAGGCAGACCTGCAAAAATGCTCAACCCTTCCTCTTATCTGAGAGGGCACTCCCAACGAAGCCTTTCGAAATATTCAGCTTTCTTTCCCCCCGATAATACCTCTGTAAACAAGCTATACTAGAGCAAGAATATCTCATATCATCAGGGTTAAAAGCAAGAGTATCCCATATCATGCTTTTTCCCTGTCTTTTCTTTTGGCCTTGTTCTTACCTGCAAGACAAGGAGAAAGAGAGCAATCAGTCAGCACTTGGAATCAAGCTTCCAGCCAGGAACTGACTGCCTGGAACCCCTTACCTGATTACTTACCTGGCATTGCTCTCGAGTACTCATCTTCAACACCTTATGCTTCCAGGGAAGATCCCGCATCTGCCTGAGGAACAGATAGGGCAAGTGAGAAGGATACAAGGAAGCATGTGGAGACAAGCGTAACAGCACACGTGCCGATACATCCATTACTCTGTCAAAAGCAAAAGTATCCCATATCAGCAGGGTCGAACGTACTCTAGATTTGATGGATTTGTTTTGACCCTCAAATTTTTCAGTCGGCCTTATCTCTGGAGGAAACCAGAAAACCCTCCAGCCCAGTTCAAGAATAAGCCTGTGGAAAGTTACTTCTTCAAAAGCAAAAGTATCCCATATCATCTCTTTCTCATTTTTCTTCTCTTTATCCTTCATGCTGCCTGCAAGATAGGGAGAATGTGAACAATCAGCCGGAGCTCTGATTGCTTACCTTGTCTGTCACCTCTTTCAGCAGATCCCCTAGCTCGGCGACTTGGGGGACTCCTACTACATGGTTTGTATCGCGCTTGACCAAGCCTGAAACTACAAGTAAGCTTCAAGTGACATTGATACATTACCTTGTGCATCTCCATCAGTTACAGATACCACCCCTGGATGGAGGAAGAGTACTTCCAGAGAAGATGCCACATCTACCTATGAGACAGATAAGGAAAGTCAAGACGATACCACACTTCAGTACTAAGAAGTTTCGTGGTTACGAGATCATTCTCCCCACAATATTTCCTAATGTCATTTGTACTAAATCATTCACTTGTACTCACTAAAGGAGAGCTTGAACCTATGTACTTGTGTAAACCCTTCACAATTAATGAGAACTCCTCTATTCCGTGGACGTAGCCAATCTGGGTGAACCACGTACATCTTGTGTTTGCTTTCCTATCTCTATCCATTTATATACTTATCCACACTAATGACCGGAGCAATCTAGCGAAGATCACAAAAAGTGACCGTTTTCGCTACCTAGGATCTATCTTGCAAGAAAACGGAGAATTAGATGGAGATCTCAACCATAGAATACAAGCTGGATGGATGAAGTGTAAGAGTGCATCCGGCGTGTTGTGTGACCGTCGTAGGCCACTGAAGCTCAAGGGAAAATTTTATAGGACGGCAATAAGGCCAGCGATGTTGTATGGCACAGAATGTTGGGCAGTGAAGCATCAACACGTACACAAAATGGGTGTAGCGGAGATGAGGATGCTTCGTGGGATGTATGGGCACACGAGAAAGGATAAGATTGGGAATGAGGATATCCGAGGTTTGGACATGTGCAAAGAAGGCCTACTGACGCTCCGGTTCGAAAATGTGACTACGGGACAGAGGTTCAGGGCCGAAGGGGTAGAGGAAGACCTAGGAAAACTTTGGAAGAGACCCTAAGAAAAGACTTGATTTTGGATCTAACGGAGGACATGACACAAAACCGAGCGCAATGGCGTTCTAGGATTCATATAGCCGACCCCACTTAATGGAAAAAGGCTTTGTTGTTGTTGTTGTTGTAAGAAACTTTCAGTTTTATTCATTTATTTATTTAATTTCTGGCATCTCTGATACCTTTAGGAGTTATACCCACAAACATGCAATCACTAGAAAATTACGTAGACCAGTTACCCTATGGACATAGAACCTAAGAATTTAGTACTTTATGAGTTCCACTAGTTTAGGTTTGAGTCTTTTGGGTGGCTTTCACCATGCTATGAGGGTGGTTGTCCCCTTGAGTGTATACGGAGCCAGTGTTCATTCTACATGGATGTGTATTGTCCGACATATCTCATATGCAGCTCCTCTACCCGCACACACATTTAAACAGATCCTTTATTATGTAGAAGAATGCGGAGGATACAATTGTTAGTTTGTTATTATATGATGACACATGACTTCCAAGGGCACACCCTTTTATTCTTTGGATGTTGATATGTTTAGGATTGTTGAGATTGCTCTTAGTGAAGCTACATTGTTAATTTCTGTTCCTTGAAAGCTCAATTATCAAGTATTCATCTTGGTAAACTTTTTTTTTTAGAAGAAACGATAGAGATTTATTAAAACAAAAGAAGGAAATACAACAAGTGGATAAGAAATCCACCAAACTAGCTATGACCTCTCAAGTAGGAGTACTACTTTAGTTGCTAAAGAACATTCCAACCTTTATGCTAAATTTCTGCTAGAATCAATGTATGAATACATCTACATTAATATTTCTGAGTTTTACTTGCATTCTCATAATCATCTTTATCTATCAATTAATGAGGGTTTAGTTGAATCTCCGTGGTTTGCTCCCATGTGGTCTGGGGTTCAATTCCTCAAGGTAGCTATTTACTATTCACTATATGTTAATGTGGAGCACATGGATCGATTTTCTAGAGAGTTTGGAACCGATGACAACGAGGACGAAAAAGAGAAAACACCAGCTGGCCAGGACCTGGAAATTGTAAGACCTCATAAGTTGTCAAAGCCTAGTGATTTTCAAGTACTTTTTGGAGGAAATAGCAAGGATGACTTCATGGTTGGCATCAAGTTCACTAAGTAAGTTACTTAACTTATAACGATGATAACCTATTTGAGATTTTTTTATTTTTTTTATTTTTTATTTTTATAGTAAAGATGATCTAGTGAATAGTTTCTCTTATTGTTGCTTTACTAAGGGTATTGTGTAATCTTCTATGCAATGTGAAAAGTTAAAGAAAACATATTACATGTGAGATTTGACTTGCATTTATCTTGTGGCCATTTAAGTATATAGTATATCTTTGGTAGAACATGTAAGTTTTGAGCCTTAACGTAATTTAGACAATGTGAGCATCAAACAGTTGATGTTTGGTTCTGGAAATGGGTTTAGAAGAGTTATAGTGTTTTGTGATTTGGTACATTGTTCGTAAAATATACACAAGCACAAAGCTATATGTAATTAATGGCTGTAGGTATATTGTACATAACGCATATATGCATGCTGATGTATTTTATTATAGGACCTACAGTTTATCACATATGTATATATTCAAAATAATGTACCTAATCAAAGATTCAAAATTCAATTTAACACTAGGCTTCAATGTAAGAAAGAAATGAACTTATTCAATGTAAAAAATCTAACTTTTTTAAATTGGGAGACTTAATACTAAACATTGGTTATCCTCAAGGTTCTAAAAGACGCTAGGCGCTAGTCGGGCTGCGGGTTCGGGCTTAGTGCCTAGGTAGATTTGAGTAAATATATTATATATTGTATAAATAAGTGCCTATTTACCTATACTTGTCTAGAAAATTTGGAATAGATAAAATGCAAAATAGAAAGAATACAACTAATATTTTTTATTTTTTCTTAAAAAGTTGTATGGGATAAATGAGTTGTAGAGAAACAATTTTATAGGGAAAACGTTTTGACGTTGGTAGCTCTGGTGACTCCTTGAAGTGAACACCTTTTTTCCCAAAAAGAAAAAAGAAAAGTGAACCCCGCTGCCATCTTGTTCTTCCTATGAAATTCCTTCACAATCAGAACTAAAGAAAAATAACGATAAAAAAAAAATTAGAAAAAAAAATTTGCAAACCTAGTGTGGTAAGATTGTGAGAGATGCAACGCGAGATGGTGCAAAGATGTAGTGCAGGTGCGATGGAGTATGAGTCTGGTGATGCAGCAACGGCGAGAGATGCAAATGCGAACGGATGAAGATAAGCCATGTCTGCAATTCTGTAAAAATTGACAGAGAGAGTGCAGAATTGACTCTTTCAAATGTTGTACTTTTATGCGTAAACAGAAGTGAATTCTAACAAAGTACCAATATCAACGTCGTAGGTGAAAGTTAAAACAAACAATCTCAAACTAACACGAGATTTACGTGGTTCGGCGTAAAGCCTATGTCCATGAGCGAAGCACGGCGAAGAATTTCACTAAACAAACGGAGATTACAAAAGAGTGTTTAAACTCTCACAACCCAAATCCCACAAATTACAAACCCTAAACCAAACGAGTAGAGAACTCAAACAAACGGAGAAGATTCTCCCAAATTGCTCTCTAACTCACAAACTCACAAATTGACTCTCACCAAATTTGCCAAACGAATGAGCCACGAATTTGCCACACACTCATGACTGACCTCCACCCAAAACCAAAATAGAGAAAAGCTCTCTAAACCATGATGAGGCACACTAAATACACTAACCCTATAAGGTCCTATTTATAGTGCATAGGACTTAGGTTACAATAAGAATCCTAATAGGAAATAAATCCAAATCCTAATCAAATAGGTAATTAACAAAATCTCTCCACCAAAGAAACTAACTAAGAAGTCAAAACCAAACCCAAATAGGACACCAAAACCAAATAGGTAACACAAACCTAATTTATTGCATCATCCAAATTTTGAGCCAAAAACCCAACATCAAAAATCATGGACCGCCTAGACTGGCCAGTGGCCACCTACCACCACCTAGAGCACCTAGATGACTGCCTAAACCCTCCACGATTTCCATCAACGTTTTGGTCTAAATCGCATTGGCCCTCCACCTCCCACCGCCCACCGCCCAGGCGCCGCCTAGGCCGACCTTTAGAACAGTGGTTACACAACATGAACTGTTCAAAAAGTCATCTGTGTAATCTGGTTTGGGTACTTCTTAAGTTAGTGCAGCATTAGTGGCCAGCAATGCAAGTGTTTCTCCCCGTCACTTGAATATTTTACTGAATCATTTTAGAAGCATTCTTCTGTGTATGTCGAACTATTGTGATATTGTGAGCACCAATTTGTCTATTAATGGTTTGGATGGCTTCATTGTATCTTGCAAAACTGTAATTGGAATTTTGAGGTTTTGGATCTTTTGGCCCTAGTGCAACATCAGCTACATATGATCCTTTCATGGCTGAAAAAGGTCTTTTTAATCAGTTTTTAATTGTGAATCACTAGTTAAAGTAACGAAGAATCATACCGGAATTTTATGAAGTCATCCTTTTATGATGTTCTTATGTTGAATGTAGAGTGAGCAATCAAAGAGTGCTAAAAGTTATATTCCCTTTTGTTGTACAATTTCATGCTATTTTTGTTCTCTTTCAAAAAATTTATTGACAGACATTTAACAGAGATGACATAGATAGGAATTTCAACTCATTTTTAATCTTTGCTTTGTAGGAGGAGCATAAAGTTGTACAGTGATTTCTATACCTCAGATATGATAGTTGCTTCTTCAGTTGGTTTGTTGAAAGTAAGTGATCAGCTTTATTTTCACTTTCAAAGTTCCTAGTCTGATTTTTCCCCTGGTGGCTTGTTATGAAATAGACGTATTACTTGCACGTTTATATTTCAGTTGGTTACCTAATTTCCCATAATTATTTGAATATATGCAGACACGCTTGTCTTCTGAAAATTACTTTCTTTTAGATCAAAGTAGTTAAGATATGTTAAAAGACACATTTAGCCTTCTCACCTCTAAATAACAACTAGAAACAGAAGGTTGCTGAGAAAGAAACTAAAAGGAATTGATAATTATATAATTGTCTCTAGTTTGTATAACCAACTTTCATACTGAAGCTACCAACTCCTTTGCAAGAATCATCTTAAAATGAATTACATTTTTCTAAATAAAGGCGTGTGGACTTTCTCTATATATTCTAAGGCTGGAGGTTGGTCATTTGTTTACGTTTGTGATTTGCTTACACTTCCTTTATATCTATTATAATGAGTCTGGGCCTCTATTTTTGCAGAAAATTGATGAGGCTAAATTAAACAAAGAAAAGGATGTCGACTATCTTTCTTCCATAGAGGTAATATATCTTACCAACCTGTCAGTGTTTGGAAGTATGTTTGTATGCTTATCATGGGGTTTTTTCCTATGCTTGAATGGTTCCCTTCCATTGATGGAGATATATTTCTTTGATGTGGCAGGTTCTAGTTATTGATCATGCAGATGTTGTAACGATGCAGGTAATAGTGTGATCAATTATCTACTAGAAATATGTGGTGCTTGCAAAATTTATATCTTCTATTTTCTGATAAAAAAATCCAGAACTGGGACTTTTTGAAGTCTGCTGTTGAACAGTTGAACCGCATACCATCTAAGCAGCATGGGACTGATGTCATGCGGATAAGACCGTGGTATGTTTTGTTGTACATCTTTTCAAGTATTAACACTGTTTTGTGCCAGGCATGGCAATTTATCCTTAGTTTCCTCCCTCACACTATTGGTAACAAATGTTAGTGTAATTAGAATTATGCTCAGTGAATGGAAATCGAAGAAGAAAAAATATCAAAAAAAGGTCGTCGTACCCAGTGCACAAGGCTCCCGCTTTACGCAGGGTCTGGGAGAGGTGAATGTCGGCTAGCCTTACCCCCATTTATAGAGAGGCTGCTCCCAAGGAAGAAGAAAAAATATCAAAGAAATAACAAAACAGAAAATGGTTCCTTCTTTCATTCTGCAAATCACAGAGGAATATGCTCTCATTGATTGTATTTGTACCAACCATGCTCGAAATGAGCACTATGTTGTGCGGAAGCGTCAAATATGAAACCAATAAGCTAATACGGTAAAATATGACAAGACAAATAATCCAAAGAACACAAGGATTTATACTGGTTCGGCGTAAGCCTACGTCCAGTTCCGAGACGGCGAGGAAATTCCACTAATATCAAAAGGAGATTACAAATTGAGTTTTAACTCTCAAACCCAAATCCCACATACACCAAATAGCTCTCACTCAAACTAAGAAACAAATGGAGAAGAAGAAACACATATCAAAATCCTTCTCTCCCAAAAGCTACACAAGTAGCACCAACATCTTTGATTGAGTGATTACTAACAAAATGGGATTATTACAAATGGTGGGAAGGAGCAGCTCATATTCAAATGGGAGAGCCGAATGCTCTCCCTGGTTTCTCTCATCTGCAGCTCACCCCATGCTCTCTGCTTCTCCTCAAACATATAGCAGCTGCTGCCTTGAAAATACCAAAAGAAAAGCTCTTGACTTTTCTTCCCTGAGCCAACATCCTAACAAATTTCATCATTGCTGCCTTTTCTCTTTTTTTGCTTGCTTTCGGCTGCACTTTCTTTTCTGCTACCTTTCTGCTGCTTTTCTGCAGCTTGTCTTCTGACCAAAAGGCATGAATTTCCTTATATAAGGCTGGTGCCTTTTTAATTAAACCCTAGCTGCCATGTGGCTTTCAAATGGGTAACAAAAGGCCAAACCTATTTGGGCTTGAGACAAAAAACTAAAGGCCCAAGAAGTATTGAGCCACAAAATCCAACAATCTCCACCTTGGCGAAATTCCTGAAAGCAACTCAGAGTTGACTCAACAATCATCATAAGCACCCAAAATACGAACTACAGACAACGGAAGCTAAATCAAATTCACCAAACTTTCCGGTACTCATAACAATTTCCACCTCGACTCAAACTGTACCAAAGCCAACGAAAGTGAACATTTCTCTACCGTCTTCTCCAAATTTGCAAACCATAAGTGCCTTGATCAAAACAAAAGTGATTCAAACGAAGAACTGAAATTCTTCAATATCACCAACAAAAGATCAAGCACACCATACCAAAGTTGGACACACAACGAACTCCACCTGCTCACAAACACCATGGTCTTAAACTGCACCAATAGACTCATTCATATAGCATGGCACATTCTCCAAGTCAAAACTGATTACAAATTTGGCAACAAAGTCTCACATACCACATACAAAAAATATGCTCTTCACTCAAGTTTACCATCATCACATGAGCACCAACAGGACAACCAAAATTTCAAATTCAAATAATCAGCAGGAGATCCAAAACCATACCTCAACTGAAGTCTTCAAGAAAACTAATTGCAGATGATAAAGACCAACAGACCAAATAGCAGTGGCAAACAAATCCAACCAAATGTCCATAGACCAAAGTTAGAAAGCATATAACTTGCCTTCTACAAGAGGGTTCCACACAAATGTTCTGCAGTGCATGTGGTGTCTCCAAAATAGTGTGGTGTCTCACTATCCAAACTTTGCAGAACTCAACAAATTGGCCCTCACAAACTCCTCCAATGTTTCCAGCAACTTGCTCCAAAGGCAACCAATGAGAGTGAAAAAAACAACCAAAAATTTATGCCGTTGAAAAAATGCCAAAGAAAAGAAAACTTAGCCTTAGCCTTTTTTCCCTTTTCTTCCAGCCAACAACATCATTTGTCATCATGATGTCTTCCAGCCAACAACATCATTTGTCATCATGATGTCCTTCTGCCAAAACAAATGCTGAAAGAAAAAGAGCCAAAACAAATGCGAAAAAAAAAAAAAAAACCAACATTTTCTTTTCATTTTTCAACTGCTTCTACTTTTTCTCCTTCCCATACAACTTACTAATCGCAGCAGACAACATCAACAGATAATGCAGACAGAGTTCTGCAAAAGAGAACCCATCATATGCTACCATGAACAAAACTGCAGCATCTTCAACGCCACGCATTTTGCAGCCAAACTCTGCATCTCCAATTGACCAAATGCCCAAGTCATTCCTCCTGTCGAATTTTTCAAAAAAACATATTTCACCGTCTTTCGAAGATTTCATAGACATATTAGTACAAAGCCTCCAAGTCGAAACCCGGAGCTCTGATACCACTTGTTGTGCGGAAGCGTCAAATATGAAACCAATAAGCTAATACGGTAAAATATGACAAGACAAATAATCCAAAGAACACAAGGATTTATACTGGTTCGGCGTAAGCCTACGTCCAGTTCCGAGACGGCGAGGAAATTCCACTAATATCAAAAGGAGATTACAAATTGAGTTTTAACTCTCAAACCCAAATCCCACATACACCAAATAGCTCTCACTCAAACTAAGAAACAAATGGAGAAGAAGAAACACATATCAAAATCCTTCTCTCCCAAAAGCTACACAAGTAGCACCAACATCTTTGATTGAGTGATTACTAACAAAATGGGATTATTACAAATGGTGGGAAGGAGCAGCTCATATTCAAATGGGAGAGCCGAATGCTCTCCCTGGTTTCTCTCATCTGCAGCTCACCCCATGCTCTCTGCTTCTCCTCAAACATATAGCAGCTGCTGCCTTGAAAATACCAAAAGAAAAGCTCTTGACTTTTCTTCCCTGAGCCAACATCCTAACAAATTTCATCATTGCTGCCTTTTCTCTTTTTTTGCTTGCTTTCGGCTGCACTTTCTTTTCTGCTACCTTTCTGCTGCTTTTCTGCAGCTTGTCTTCTGACCAAAAGGCATGAATTTCCTTATATAAGGCTGGTGCCTTTTTAATTAAACCCTAGCTGCCATGTGGCTTTCAAATGGGTAACAAAAGGCCAAACCTATTTGGGCTTGAGACAAAAAACTAAAGGCCCAAGAAGTATTGAGCCACAAAATCCAACACACTACATAACGGTTACAAAATCTCAGCTGCATTCTCTCTCTGCAAACTGATCTCAGCTACTCATCTAGCTAATAACTAGGATCATTACACATGGCATTCTTAGCCTTACATCTTAGGGCCTTACACTTGGCATTCTTACACTCAAGTGAATACACAATTAAACCCACATGGCTTATTCACTAATACTAATCAGCTCACTGCTTATAACTCAACAACAAAGTGCTTCCTATACAACTTAAACTGATATGAACATCTCAAGATGTAGAATACACAATGGAAACGTTGTATTCCGATGGGAAATTTGATTGTGAACATACTGGTCCATATCACATGTCATGAAGACCAACTCAACAATGTTTTTCATGGTCAGGTACCTGGATGGATGTGCACATTTCTATAGGCAAACAATACTCTTGAGTTATTATTCAAATCCGGGTAAGATTTCTCCTTTTCTTTGATGGTAACTGTGAAATCTTTTGCTTTCTTGTATATTGATGTTAATCGTGATAAAAATTCAAATTTATAAGATAATCGACAATATTCCAGTTCTTGATCAGCCTTTAACCCTATGCTTTTTACTGCAGATATAAACAATTTGTTCAGCAAGCACTGTAATAATTACCATGGGAAGGTATGTTTAAGAATAAATATTTAGAGCATAATTATCTATTCAGATAGTGCATAGATTTGGACTATAAGAAATCTATTATAGCTTTATATCTCCTCCTATAATTCTGGGCTGTCCACTGGTCTTACAATGGATTAAATGATATGAGTAGATGACATGAAATTAATGAAAAAATTATCAGTTAAATAAAATGGCTGTTTGCCAACACAGTGCAAAAGGAAAACTTCAATTTCTGTTTTCCTTAAAATATTCAGATTGGCAATGCTTATTTTATGGTTCACAGAACGCAAAAATTCTAAAATACTGAGTTTGTGATATCTATAGGTGAAGCTGGTACATGAACATAAAGGAGTTCTTCCTAAAGTGATACTTCAAGTCCGCCAGGTATACCTCATAAAACTTTCTTTTCACTTGATTTGTGGATGGTTTTGTGATATCTTTTACCCCCTCAGATGTGTTGATGCTTTTACTAATTTATTTTGCATTAAAAGATTAAAAATACAACTCTTTTCCAGTGAAAATATATGGGTCAAAGTGGTTTGTACTTGAATTATAACACAATGTAAACGAAAAATAGCTGCATATGGTCCTGTGAGCATCCCCCCACATTTATTTGGAATGTCGTCCTTCAATTGCATTTCATAGTATACCTTTTGTCTCTCATGTGACTAATGTCCAAGGGGTGTTTTGTTCTGATTAATTAGTTTCCATGTTTGTGTTTCATTACTTGAAATTTCTAGATTCTAGTTATTCTCTCGACTCATATGACAATAGCATCAAAACTTAAGACCGTTATCATTCAAGTTGAGTTTATTTGTTTCTTGGACCTATTAACTTTTCTGATTTGGAGATCTTATCTATCTATCTTCTGATTTCCTTAGAGGCATTTGTCATCCTTTATTTGCCCTTCTTCACATAAATAGGACGCTGAATGTACTGTCTAAATAATATGTCAATTTCTGTTCTGCTCCTTTTTTATTTCTTGTTACTGATAATTGGCTTTTCAAGTGGTTAAGGTGGATTTGAAATGAAAACATGGAATTAGTGGATATGTTCTTTATTTATTTATGTTTTGGGTTCATTCATTGAGAACCTGTTGGGAATATGGCTCACACAACATTGAGACTCTCTGAAGTGTTCTTTTCTTTTCCTGGTGTGATTTGAATATTTATTATGTTAGGAGAAGTGGCTACCGAGAAAAAAAATATAATATATGTATCACAGTACTTAGTTTCTTCTTAAAGTGTAAGGAATTAGGTTGATTCCTAAATTCTGTTTCAGATCTGGATTAACTTCATCAACTAATTCACTTTGTTACTTTTCGACCTTACAGATTTATCAGCGGTTTGATGCAGATTCGATACAACATATTGATGATGCTTGTTTTGAATATTTTACTACAAAGGTTTGTTCTGTTACCCAGGAGGTTCCTTAATTGCAAGAGACTTTATAGTTTGTAGTTATTGAACAATTATAATTTGATTTCTGAATTGCTATAGTTAGACTTATTAAAGAAGGTCTCTATAACTTGTGGCTAGATAATTTGTTATTAATTTGATAGAACCATCTTGTAGAAGAATTCGTTAGGGCCTGTTTAGTATCCTCCTTGGATCCAATTTTTGTTTTCAAAAATGATGAATGTAGTTCAAGAAGGTCTCATTAGCTTCAGTAACAAAAAAAATTCAAGAAGGATAGCAAACAACCCCTTAATTTCTTAGAAAGATAAGTTTTAATTTTTAAGTTACAGTGCCGGCAGTTTTTGTGTTTTCAAATCTATGGAAATAAATAATGGATAGTGCTATTCGCACACCCATTTTTACCTCCCACACACCCTTGTTAATTTTTGGTCGTTGATATTGTTCAATTCATTTGATCCGACGGCTGAAAATTGAGAGGGGTGTGTTGTTGGGTTTTTTTCCAACCCATGATAAGTTGTCCTAAATCTATTGGGAATTAATAGTCTTAGAGGATTAAATTGTTTTCCCAATTGGAGTTGTTTACCCAATTGGAGTTAGTTTCTCAATTGGAGTAGGATTCATAACTAGATTCCAATTAGGATTAATAATCCTTATTGAAGAAGACCTTTATTATGTCTATATAAAGGGGCTATTGTACTAGTTTTGAGAAGGGAGCAAAACAATAAATTGTATACCACTCAAGGGATTAGAGTGAGAGAATATTGTAAAGTGTGCGAGAGAAAAGAAAAGAGAGGTTATTTCTTGTTCTTGTTCTTCCAGGTTTTTCGTCAAGTCCTAGTTCTAGAGATTTGGCAAGATTATTGGTTGTACTCATTATTGATATAGTGAAAGATTGTTGTTGTTGTCCCGTGGACGTAGGCACATATTGCCGAACCACGTAAATTCATGGTGTTATTTATCTTAGTTATTTGTGTTTTGATTTCCGGAGTTTGTTCTTATTTTTCCCATTCTTAAACGCGATATTCTCAACATGTGTGAGAAGTAAGATGGGTGTGCGGAAGGACTACCCTAAATAATTTTGTGCCTCGCCTTTTAGGAAGACGGGGACAAATGTTTGTATTAGCTAGAACAACTTGTACTTGAAGTTGGAAGAGAATATGAAAAGTTGCTGATATAAATTTAGTCTTTTTTGAAAGAAAAAAAATCCCATATCTTAACCCATTTCCTACCCACATCATTGAACTTGCTGCATCTTGAGAATTTGAAATTAACACTGCGCTTGACTGTTTTTGTGTTTAGCTTTATGTTTTTTTTCCATCTTTTTACTCAGATTTTGAGATGTTTGGTGTTTTTCTGTTTTCAGGTCTTCCCAAAGATAAAAGATTCTGTTGAGGTAATTATTTGAAGGCCTAAGAATTTTAAAATTGCAAATATCAATAAATTTTTGTTTAAATTGTCCTTGTATGATCCTTGGAATATTTCATGATATCTTTCCTTTGAAACTTTCGTTCAGGGTGGGATTATGATATTTATCAGTTCTTACTTTGAATATGTTCGAGTTCGGAACTTTTTGAAGTCACAGAGTGCGTCCTTCTGTTTACTTCATGAGTAAGAACCTGTCCTATTTATGTTGTGATGATTGTGCAGTCGTAAATGTAGTGACGCAGTAAATTTTCCATGGCTCCTTAGATATGCAGAGCAGAGTGATATTTCTCGTGCATGGGTTTGGTTCTTTGAAGGAAAGCGGAAGATAATGCTTTACACTGAGAGATCACATTTTTACCACAGATATAAGGTTCTTTAGACTGCTTTGAGCATAATTTTCTTGTCCAAATGCTGATGATTTTGTGTCCTTCCATTTTGGATATTGTTGTTTAACTTGGAAAGTATTTTGCTGAAGTTTAAAATCAGTATTTTGAGCCTCTTTGCTGACATACGATTATTCTCTTGTGAGTAGATTCGTGCCATTCAGAATTTAGTCATATATTCTCTGCCTGAGAGAAAGGAATTTTACCCTGAGGTGAGCGCGATACAAATAGTCATTCTCTTTAAGAAGCTCAACTGGAGAGCTACCAAATTAAAAAATAATAATGATGAAGCATCTGTCTTTTGATACTTTATATAATTCATTTTGAGATACAGTCATGTTCTCCTTTTCTTGAACCAAAACGCTCTTTTTATTTAATTGTAGGTTGTTAATATGCTTGATGGGTCCAATGACATGGCATGCACGGTGCTCTTTTCTCAATTTGATCTCCTTCGGGTAATATTTCTTAAAAGTGTGCTAGATCGTTGTTTGATTGTGAGGATGAGATAGGGTAGCTGTTTAACTTGCTAGGATTTTTGAATGTTTAACTTCTCAGTGATCCGTTATATTAGAAACTGGCACAGTTGATCAACTGAATAAAGAAACTGCCTAACATCATTGTGTGAGTCTGATCGATGTGATGAAATTGTGTTAATCTCCTGTTGCCTTTTTAACCCCCCCTGATGTGGTGAACATGAAGTAGATTCTCTATTTTGCTCGCTTGTTTGGTTTTCGGGCCAGTGAATAAGGAGAAACCCGTTATCTAAGTATATTTTTGTTTTTCTCTTATTGCATTTCAGCTCGAGAGAATTGTGGGATTTGCTTCAGCGAAGAGAATGTTGACATCGAAAATGAAAATGTTTTCTTTCTCTTGAAGACTTTAGAAATGCAGAACATGAGATGAGACATAACTGTGACTTCAGTTTAGCAACTCTTGCTCAAAGAAAGATAACTATGCTGGTTTTCAATACCCACTCGGCCAAGGTCATTTTGATTTTGTTTTTACCCCATGTTAACATTTTGTTCCACCCAACAGTGTTCGAAGAAATAGTGCATCGTACTATTTTTTTTTTTTTTTCTTCTTGCCTCTGCTTTTAAAGCGTTAGGACAGGTTGATATGTGTAGGTTGTACCAGGAATCATTTTTGACAATGAGCAATTGGGAATTTCGGATTTTGTTTTCAATTGTCTGCTAAGATTTCGATAATTGAAGAATGATTTGATTGTTCAATACATCCGCCACCAAATTAGCTTCTCTAAACGCACCCGAAAGCATTGTAACATTCTCTTGATATCCGAATGGAGAGATCAAATGCGACACGGAGGAGGTTGATTTGATAGCAGAAGTCGAATAAAAACTTGGGAATTACTAGAGTTCAAACTGGCTTGTTCTCGTACTAACGGGGAATATGTTTGCGTGGCCAGTCGATGCCCGTATCATCAAGAGGAAGCTTGGCCTAATATGGAAACATGGTGCTTTGCCGTGGAATTCGCTGATGAGGATGAGAACTCATCAGTGAATTCCATCTCTTAGAGTCTGGGTTAGGCTCCCACGAGTTCCTATCCAATACAAGGATGTTGATATTATCAAGGGTATTACTATTACTCAAGCAATCGGGGGTCTCTATGAAAGTGGATAAGATTACTTTGAATGGTTTGAATAGGTTGTTTGTGAAGGTCTTATTGGAGATTGATTTGAGGTTCCCACTGAAGAGGGTGCGGGTTGTAAATGTAGATGATGGAAACCCTATCCTGGGTTGGCTATGAAAAGCTTTTGAATGTGTTTCTACCGTGAGAGACGAAGGCTTGAAGGGCATTCTCGCCCTGAAGATGAGCTCGGTGATGGATGTTGTTGATGCACAAAATTGGTGAGACTTTAGAACAACTTAAAGTGTCAAGTTTGTGACCTTCGCATGGTTGCTCTGGTCACTAAGGCCATCTCCAACCGAAGGGTCTAGAGGGCCAGAGGGCCGAAAATAGCCCGAAAACCGTCTCCAACCGAGGGCTAGGCTAGAGGGCTCTGGAATCTGGGAGGGGCCCACGAAATCGGAGAGGGCTGGAAGGTTGGAGGGCTGGCTGCATGTAGCCACCAGACAGCCAGCCAGCCCGGGGCTGGCCATATTTTTTTTTAATGTTTTGTTATTTCTGTCGGTTATAGCCAAGGTATTAAATATTGATGATATCAGAAATATCGATAGTCCAAAAACACGGAAATGTCGATGGAAATATCGGGATATTATCGATATCGATAAAAATAATATGGAAATCACGGAAATTGTAAGAAAAACTTGGAAATTTTTATTGAAACTGTGCAGGATGTTTATTTAGTCAATTATCTATTAGTTTATCACAAAAAATTGGAAGGAAATGCATTGCATGATGGATTTAACTGATTTAAGTTGATTATATAGCGAGCTGGCAAATTTTTCACTCTTTGAGGTTCAAATTTTTCACTCTTTCCCTGAAATTATATATTTTCACTCTTTCCTGAAATTGAGTCCTTTATCCTAATCTAATCTGGACCCCAGATTAATTTATATTTTCACTCTTTCCCTGAAATTATATAAATTGTGCAATTGAGTCCTTTATCCTAATCTAATCTGGACCCTCCATCTTGATTCTCACTCTCCGTCACGCTGCCACATGGCAGCCCACTAACCCTCACCCTATCTCTCTCTCTCTCTTTTCCCGAGACTCTCTTGGACCCCTCACTCTCTCTCAGTTCTCAACTCTATCTCTCTCTCGAACTCTCGTTCTCTCACTCCATTTCCCCGATCGCACCCACACCCAGGCACACCCAAATTCGTCCACCCCGATGCCAGCGCAGCATCTCCACCACCCTCCTGAACTCTCCCTCCCTCTCCTCTGTCTTTGGGAAGCACGGCGACGCGCAGAGGACTCCATTTCCCTGATCGCACCCACACCCAGGCACACCCAAATTCGTCCACCCCGATGCTAGTGCAGCATCTCCACCACCCTCCTAAACTCTCCATCCCTCTCCTCCGTCTCTGGGAAGCACGGCGACGCGCAGAGCAACCCCGATGACCCCAAGAACGCCCAACCCATATTCCGGCCACCTCCAGAGAAAAGAGATTGCTCATTTTGATGGGTCTGAGCGTGGATTGCAGAGAGGGGCGCAGATCTTGGCAGCTACGACAACGGAGCCTTGGCTGCCGTTGCGACAACGGAGCCTCGGCGATATTATCGATAATATCGCGATATTTTGACGAAAACCCGTGGATACCTATTAAAATATCGGTAACGTGAAAAACCGATAATATCGACGAAATATCACCGATATTATCGGCATTTCGGACATTGGTTATAGCTGACAGGAATACATTCTATTACTTAATATAAATGTATTCCTGTCAGTTAACATGATTTTTTAAGAAAGAATTCAAATGCAACGCTAGCTGACTAGCCATTGCATTTGATTTTTTTATTTTTATTTTAGAGTTTTATTATTATATTTTATTTGCAAAAATTTTCATATAACTTCTATTTTTTCCTATAACTTTTATTTTACAAAATTTGCTTCATATTTTTTTAAAATTCCATTTTTCCCTTATAACTTCTATTTCACAAAATTTGTTTCATTTTATTTTAAGTTGTAGTTTTTAAATAATAAATTATGTTTGGCCTTATAGCCCTCTGGCCCTCGGTTGGAGACGGTTTTTTGTGACAGGGCTAAAACGAGCCCTCTAGCCCTCGGTTGGAGACGGAGGCAAATATGGCCATGTACTGTTCATTAAAATATTAATATCTTGGAGGATCTTGAAGGGCCAGAGAGCTAAAACGAGCCATTTGGCCAGCCATCGGTTGAAGATGGCCTAAGTGTAGGTAAATACATAGAAATATAAAGATAGGGAAGCAAACATAGGATGTACGTGATTCACCCTAAGTTGGGCTACGATCACGAGGGTAGATGACTTCTCATTAATAGTGGAGTTTACACAATACATAGGTTCAAGCATAATCATCGTTAGTGAGTTTTAATGATGAGTTTTAGTACAATAATTACATTAGGGTTTAACTGTAGGAAAATAATCTTGTTTTATAGTCGATGAGAGTTGCATGCTTTTATCTGCGATCGAGGTGGGACTATAGGAGCTTTATTCTAATGTTGACATGTGTCATGTGATGATTGGTCTCTTGACTAGAAAGGAACTCATATGCTTCAGTAAGGGTGCCTCAGCATGAACCTTCAGTGAGTCCCTGAAGGTATGAAGTTGATCAGTGCTCGGTAGTTTCAGGATTTGTGAAGTATGATACAAACATTGCGCTCCCATAAGTTCTCGAGTGAGAAAAGCTTCTCGGTTGGGGAATTGTAAAAACCTAGGACACTGAGTAATCACAAAACTTCAAGGTACTGAACGAAGAGAGTTGCTGAAAGAAGAGAGTTGCTGAACGAGATGCCTTAATTTTTGTCGAGTTGCCGAAGGACCAAAGTTCCACCTATTCTATTTTAAGTGGCAGCCCATGGAGTGCACAGCAAAGGTTTGTTATGGTACAAGGAACCCTTAATTTGTGTCCTAAAATGCATAGGAAATCTTCAATGTTGCTGGAACTTAAGGACATTTAGGATTTATGAAAGATCAAACCAAAATAGGAAACCTTGGCTTAACTTTCCTACTTCAAGTAGGAATCCTCATCTTTAGGTCTTCAATTTCGTCCATTCCTTTAGTTCCAAGCATGTGATATTTATTCCAAGCCCAAATTTGCTCCAAAAGGCTCCAAAATGCACATTTTTGCATACTTTGTCCTTAGAACCTGAAATTGCACAAAAATGACTTGAAACACTAAAACTACTAAGGAATAACAACATAAATGCATGAGAACAAGCTAACTCAGTCGCATAAATATGCTCCTATCATTAGGCCCACATGCCTTTTTTGTTTGATGGAAGTAATCTGCCCAAGAATTAGGACAGCTCCATTAGAAAGAGCGCATGCCTTGGGCACTCATTTTTTGTTAGGCCCAAAGTCAAATCAAGAATTGGGCACAAAGAAAAGATCCAAGTATAGCCCAAAAGGAGGGGCGAAGGCCACGCATTTTTTAACCAGTCCTTTTGTTGCTGTTTTTTTTTTAATATTTATTTCTGTTGACCGTGACCTACCCCAAGCCCCTTTTAGTTTCTGCTGACTAAAACTCAACCTCCTCCCTAGAAGTTTCAGTGCCTCTTCTCTTATTATTCTTTTTTTTTTTTGGGTAAATTACATAGAAACCTCTTAGGTTTGAGGTCTATTACTACCCTATTCAACATCTTTAAAACATTTTACTTTCATACCTTACGTACTATTTTATTTCAAAATAATACATCCATTAGATTTTTCATCCATTGGTTTATTAAATGCTGACGTGGTTGCCACATTTGTGCTAATGTGGCTGCCACGTGGCAAAAAAAATAATTTTTTATACATTAAAAATATTATAATATTAACCCTATTAAAAAAATAATAAAAAAATAAAAACCCAAACCCAGAAATCCTCCACTGCAACCCCACATCCCACCCCCTTACCCATCTCTTCCTTCCCGTCCACTCTTCCACTCCCTCCACAAAAGCTAAAACCCGCAACCTCTGCACCTCCCTTCTCTCTCCCCCGAAGAAGAAGAAGAAGAAGAAGAGGAAGGATAAAAATAAAAAATAAAAAATAAAAAACAGAGCCCAACTCACAACCCCCCTGCACCCAAATCCAGCAAGCTTATTTCCCTATCCCCCACGGCAGACGCCTTCACCACACCCTCCCTTCCCCCTCCCCCCGCGACACCTTCACCACACCCTCCCTTCCGCACCCCCCTTCGCGCCCAAACCCAGCAAGCTTATTTCCCCATCCCCCGCGGCAGACCCCCCCAAATCTAGCAACCTTATTTCCCCATCCCCCCGTGGCAAACCCCACACCCCCTCCCCACATGACCCCCACTCCTTAAATCCACACCCATTCCTCCTATTTTCACCTCACAAACCCGGTGATGGCGGCGTAGACGGGATCTGGGTTTTTTTTTTTTTGGGTTGCAGGTAGGGGGAAGAAGAAGAAGATGAGGGAGAAGACAGAGGGAGGAGGAGGGTAAGACAAACTGAAGGGCTTTTTTTTTTTTTTTTTTTGGGGGGGGGGGTTACAAGTAGGGGGTTGGGAGATGAAGATGAAGATGAGGGAGAAGAGATGAGGAGGAGGGGACGGAGGTGCGTCTGCGTTTTCTAAGGTTTTTTTTTTTTTAATTAGAAGATT